GTCTCGAGCGACAGCGCGATTCCCAAATAAATCGTGAGAAATCCATAGCGACAGCGTGATTCTTGAGTGTCGAGGGCGCGGCGTTCGAATACATTGTGGGGAAGTCCCGCGATTTGGGAAACAACTGTGAGGAAGTATCAGGCGGGAGCCGTTGTTGTTGTTGTTGTTGTTGGTGGTGTTGTTGTTGTTGTAATTCGGGGGCCAGGGGCGCAGTTTGGGGACACCTCGCTTGCCCTTATAAAAAACAGCAGGGTGCGAGTCCTGGGAGAAGCATTACAATGGCACATATACATTGATTACCGGGGAGGGGGATCAGCAACATCTGTTTTCTTTTAAACATGAATATCCAACAACAAACAACCAACCAACCGAACAAACAACCAACCAACCAACCAACCAACAACAAACACAGCATCATCAACGACAACAACAGCACCACCACCAGCACCAGCACCAACAAACACAACACCACCACCAACAACAACAAGAGCAACAACGACAACAACAGCAGCGGCAACAACAACACACAGTTTAACACTGTTCGTTTTTATCTGCTCGCGTACCGTTCAACGCGTACGTCCCAAACCCTCGATACCAGCCCTCTTCATCTTCGGCCGTGCCCCTTTGAGGATGTAGTTTCTTCACTTGCAACGTGTATTTCGTGCAGTCCCGAAGGCAGGGGAAGAGAGGACGGATGGAAGGAAGGGACAAGGGGGAGGGAGGAGGATGGAGCCCGACATATATATATATATAGAGAGAGAGAGAGAGAGAGAGAGAGAGAGAGAGAGAGACAGACAGACAGACATAGAGAGAGAGAGAGAGGACGAGCGAGTAGCAGGAGGGAGGCTAGGAGCAGAAATCACATGGCAGAACCAGACTGGCAGATCGGGCGGGCAGACTCTATCGGGCGGGTCGCGAGAGCGGGCCCAGGCGGCCAGGTCGAGCAGGCGGGTTGCTGAAGCGAGAATCCTGCATGAATCGCGAGGAAGTCTCGAGCGACAGCGCGATTCCCAAATAAATCGTGAGAAATCCACGGCGACAATTTATTTGAACAGTCACAATTGTGACCAGGGGGGGTGGATCCACAACATTTTTGTTAGACATGAGAAGTCAACAACAACCACCACCACAACAACAACACCAGCAGCAGCAACAACAACAGCAACAACAACAACAACAACACCAACATCAACATCAATAACACGAACATGAATAACAACCGCATCAACAACACTCAGCACTCAGCACCGCGGAAGCCCACTTTTCAGCCACGCACCCAGGGACAGTGAATAACCATTCGGCCCCACCACTCTGAGATGCATGTACGCAGGTGGGCCACTCCGCCATCCCGCCCAGGTTTGGGGACAGGCTTCTTGGATGCCTGAAGGGATCTCTCGGCAGGTCTTTCGGGAGCCTCTTGGAGGCGGTGTGGAGGCCTCCCTGAGGCGTCTTCGGGGCCTCGGGGGGTCTGGTTTTGGTCTCGTTGGGGCCTCCCGGAGCTTTGGGGGGGTGGGTCGGGGGCCTGCTCGTGTTCCCCCCATTGGGGCCTCTGTTCAGCCCCTTCTGCCGCTTTCTTGAGCCCTTTTTGGAGGCCTCTTCGGCCGTCTAGGGGGTCTTTGGGGATGTATTGGGGCGATTTGGGGGACTCGGGCCGTCTTGGAGGGCTGGCAACCCGAAGGCGAGAAGGTTGAATCCTTCAAGGATCGAAGGACCATCAATAATTTTGGCCCCTCGGGGCCCTGTTGGCAGTACTCTTGCAGCCCTCTTGGGGCGTCTTGGGCCGTCTAGGGGTCATCTTGGGCGTCTTGGAGCGATCTTTTGGCGACTCGGGGCTCTCTTGGACCGCCTTCGGAGCCCCTTGGGTCCGCCTTGGCCAGCGTTAGAGCCTTCTTTGTCGCGAACAAGCATTGCGAGCAACCGCAAGACGCCCCGGGAAGTCCAGTAAATTTGGTGTCCGGGCCCTTGTCGGGGCGCAGGACGGAAAATGCGAAGCTATCTGAGGACACTCCAGCTCGTGCCTCAGGGCACGGTGGCGGCTAGCTTCAGGATTGGAGAGCAACTATCGGCGTGAATTACACATCGAAGTTGATTGAACACAACATTGGGGACGAACGGGAGTCATTGGCGAGACCAGGTTTGCCACGAGATAGTGTGCAGTTGCTATATTCATCTTCTTTTCGTCTCGCAAGCCGGCATCTCGTATACTTGACTTCTCATTTCCTCTTCTTGCCGCCTCTTTCCTCTCCTCGTCCCGCCTCCCTTCCCCCGCATGCCCTCTACGTCATATCGTGTCCCAACTCCCTTTGTGCACTCGGTCCTCCCCTCTTCTCTTACCTGCTCTACAGTCGGGGCCCTGAAGAAGGAACCCTTTTCGTTGGGGAGGGGCTCCGCGTTCCTTAAGTGTTTCGCAGCTTGCCTCAGGGTTTCCTTCGGCTTTCGATCGGAAATCGAAGGTTAACTTGTGGAAAAAAGACGCCCCGTTCCTTATTTGGGGTTCCTTGGGTCAACGCCCCGGCTGTACTCTCATTCCCCTCTCTCCCCTCGTACTGCTGTCCCGCCATCTCCTCTCGTGTGCTCTCGCCTCGCTTTTCCAGCGCCTCGCCTCTCATCCATCGGTTTGCCCGCGGCGCGCTGCCTCGAGAGACGGTTCGCGGGGGGGGGGGCGGCAGGGGCCCGGAGGGGGACCCGTGAGGGCTCGGTGTTTGGACGATAGGTTTATGTCGGGCGTGCCCCCTCTACAGGGGGATTTTCGACGAAAACTTAGACATACCCAAAAAGATTACACCAAAAAGGCTAAGACATATGCAACAAATAGTCCCCTGACTATTTTTGGAGCATGTTTAGATCATTTTGGGGTACTTTTTATTTTTCGTCGAAAATCTCTCTGTAGGGGGACAGGGCCGACTTAACAATAGGCCCCGACCCTCAGCGGACTTATTAATTCTTGGGCTTGCGCCGCGCCGCCGACCCCTTGGGGCACTGGCGGTGGTTGCGTGCTGCCCCTGAGGGCCTTTATGTGCGCCTTTTTGGGGGCGTCTTGGAGCGCTTTTGGGGCTTCTTGGCAACCTCTTTGCCGATGTACGTCCGGCGTCGCGGTCGGGCACGGCAGGAAAAAGGCGGCTGGGCCCCGGCAGAGCCCTGGGGCGACGGACGCAGGCTGAGGCACCCCGAGGAGAGCGGCGAGGCGAACGAACAATGCGACGGAGGACAGCGTTGAACAGCGCCGCCGACCCCTTGGGGAACTAGCGGTTGTTGCGTGCTGCCCCTGTGCGCCTTTTGGGGACGTCTTGGAGCTCTTTTGGGGCTTCGTGGGGGTCTTCAGGTCTTCCATGAGGAATCGAAGTTGAACTTATGGGAAAAGGGGGCCTCGCTCCTTATTCAGGGTCCCTCAGGTCGAGGCCCCGACTGTACGGCAACTCCGCGGGGGCCTCTCTTGCGGGCCTCTTCGGGACCTCTGGGGCCGACAGTCTCTCGCGCCGATGCGTCGCCGACTTCGCCGGTGCATGGCCGATGCGTCGCCGATACATCAGCGATGCATTGGCGATGCGGCGCGATCTTCCGACCCCATCTACTCGGATCCCATCTACAACCCCGTGCGAAAAGCAACTGGGGTTTCCGTACACACCTCCCCCCCCCCACCCCCCAGTTTCAATGTTCAACGCGGGGTCGTTTTTTTTTTTCGAACTTCGCTGGTCGCACGATGAACATTGAAATTCGGGGGCCGGGGGGCTCACCAAACCCCAGTTGCTTTTCGCACGGGGTTGTAGGAGGTCTCTATTTTGGAGGCTTCCTGGGGGCCTCCTGCGGGCCTCTTTGCGGGCCTCCTTGCGGGGCCCCGGCACAGCCTCTCCTCGCGCCGAGCTCGGGCCGGTGCGCCTCCCGGGGGGCCCGCGGCTCGACGGAGACAACACGGCGGCGGACGCTCTGCCTCGGCGAACCCGCGCGGCAGCGGTGGGGGGGCGAGAGCCTCCGGGGGCTGCCATATTCAGGAGGGGGAGAAAACACAGAGACACAATGAATCGTCGACTCCCCGGAAAATATGGGAAAAAATATGGGAAGTGGTGGGGAAGACGAAAGCCCAGAACAGGAGGGGGAGAAAGCACACAGACACAATGAATCGTCGACTCCCCAGAAGATATGGGAAAAAATATGGGAAGTGGTGGGGAAGACGGAAGCCCAGAACAGATGGGGAAAGAGATGGGGGATCTTGTTATTTGCGTGTATCTGTTTGTGTGTCCCAGGGCCCCTTCACATGTGGGGCCGAGGCCTCTCCAGTGCGGGGAGCAGCCCGCGCGGCGTCAGAGACCAGCAGGGCCCTCGCCGTCACGGCGGGGCCCGCCTGCGGGACCCGTGCAGGCTTGCCCCCCGGGCTCGTGCGAAGAAAGACGCCATCGACATGAACATACACTTTTGGCGCTCCCCGCGGGTTTCTCGGGGGCAGCGAGAGAGAGGGGGGGGCAGTGTCGTCTCTGAACGCTGGCCTTCGGCTCTGGCCGCTGTGCCACTGGGGAGGTGGCACGGCATTTATCATCTGATCGTGGCCCATGGTCTCCGAAGCCCCTTGAGACCCCTACGCCCCCCCCCCAAAAAAAAAAACAGTGACACGTCGATTAGTGAATTGTCCGTTTTCGGTTCTCGAGAGGGCACCGTGGCCTTCATTTTCCAGGCTTACGCCCGCCAGGTTTGGGCCTCAGGCCGTTTTCACTAAACCAGGTCTGTCCATCCCGTTTTCAGGTCTGCCAGGTTTTTTACCTGAACCACGTTTTCACATCTGTCCATCCCCGAGTTCCTTGGATCCGCGCTGGGGCTCCCCTGGCGGCGCCCCCAGCGCCGCCCCTGGCGCGCTCCGCGCACCGGGGAGGAGGGTCCAGCGCAGATCCGAGAAATCCGCGCGGAGCGCCAAAAGTTTATGTTTCAGTCGTTTTTTCTTTTTCTGGAGCACTTCGACTGGCAGCTTCGCCCCAGGAGCTGGCTTCTGTTGCCTGCGGCTGCCTGCTCAGGCCTTGGACGCGGAGCTCGAGGCTCGGATGGAGCGCGTTGCGCAGTTGTGCAAGTTGACAGAGAAGACGCGTGTGCCAAGGGGGGAAGGGGCACGTCTGCATGGGGGGCAAGGCTTCAGCATGACGCTGACGCCCCAGGGAACGAACACGTGCGAAACAGGTTACAGACACGCCCTTCTTCTCCTCCTCCTTCTCCTCTTCCTCTTCCTCCTTGTCCTATCATCATCTTCAGGGGGGCGCGCGCAGCAGTCATGATGATTCCCTAGTCGGGGGTAGATCTTGGGGTAGATGCTTTTGTTCCACTTTTAACCCGCGGGCAGTGGACCCGCTTGTTACGAGGAACAAGTCAACAATTCCCTCCTCCACTGCGGACATCCGACGGCTTTCGAGTCAATCGGTAATTTGGTCGATTGGTTAATTAGTTGCTTCTGGTTGGCTGGGTGGCTAGTTGGCTGGGTGGCTGGTTGGCTGGATGGCTGGCAAGCGGACCTGTTGGCTTGCTCGCAGTTTGGCTGGCTGGTTGGTTGGTTGGCTCGTTGGTTGCGTGTCTGGTTGGGCAGCTGGTTGGTTGGTTGGCTGACTGAGTGGCTTATTGGTGGATGGCGGTTGGCTGGCTGAGCGGTCGGTTGATTGGTTGGTTGGTTGAGAGTGCTTGCGAGAAAAGCAGCGGGCGAGCGTAGACCTGGCGGCCTGTAAGGGCGGCGCTTTCTGTCCTTCGTCCTCGTGCTGGCCAGGTTTGAAATGCTTCTGCCCCGTTTGGCCAGCGAATTGATGTTCTGCGTGTGTGTATGTGTGATGTTTGATTGTTGTCGTCGCTACAGTCGTGCGCTACTGGATTCTACGTGAAGTCGCCCTAAGTAGACGTGCCGCACGGTTCACATATGCCATATCAGTTTTTGTTGGTGTTTGTGCAAAGTGGGCCTTCGCGTCCTTTGCACATGGCGCTTGTGCTTGGTTCACAATATAGTTATGTGAACGCGCGTCTGGCCTACACATTGAACACAGTTTGCCACGACATGATTGGTGGGCCTGCTTCTTATACATTTCGGGTGTACTTGTGCATCTTCGGCTTCGTCCTAAATCACTCCAGAAGCGTGCTGAACTGATTTGCTAGTGTGCCTCGCACACCTCAGCGCCGCCGCGCACTGGGAACTAGGGGCATCTTGGCAGACGAGGGCTGAACAGGTCGTACAACTTCGGGCTCCCCCCTCAAGAGCCAACAACCCCGCAGGACTTTACTGTTTTTCTATGCTGTTAGGGTTCTGGAGGCCCCAGGAAGCCTTTGAGTTTCGGGGGTACGGGGCCTGAATGAGAGTGGAGAGTGCTTTTTACAGTCTCAGATATAGGCGGCACCCGAAGGGAGCCCAAGACTCCAGGACAGGCCACTCGGTGCCTACAGTCGGGGCCCTGAAGAAGGAACCCTTTTCGTTGGCCAGGGGCTCCGCGTTCCTTAAGTGTTTCGCAGCTTGCCTCAGGTTTCCCTTATGTTTTCGATCGGAAATCGAAGTCTAACTTATGGAAAAAAGGGGCCTCGTTCCTTATTTTGGGTTCCTTAGGTCAAGCCCCCGACTGTACGGCACGGCGGCGAGTCTGAAAGGGCCCCCGTCGCAAAGGCTCCCGCTGCCCGTGCCGACTACATGCGCGCCTCGCTCGAGCGGCCCGCTTTTGGCCCCCGCCGCGCGGCAGGTGCTGGACGTGGGCTGCGGCTCGGGCGTGATGCTGCCCTTCTACGAGAGGGCGGGGGCGTCGCTGCCGCCGCCTCGGCCACGCCGCAGGTTACCAGCCTCGAACGTATCCCTATCCTTAAGATTGACACGCCAAAAGGCGATGACAATCTTAGGGATTCGCCCTCAAAAAATAAGGGAACCCCTGAGATTGGCATCGTGATGAGGAGGTGCCCAGCATAGGGATAGGGATACGTTCCAGGCTGGTAAGGAGGGGAGGAGAGGAGAAGGGCAGCGACCCAGACCTCCGCGGTCGCGATCTCCTGTTCGACCCCGGCGCCTCTCCCCAAGATCTGGGCCTCCGCGGGGGGGCGTCTGCAGGTCTCGGGGCCATCGGACGCCGACGCGCGGTGAAATGCCGGCCCAGGAAGCGGGGGCGAGAGCTCCAGAGGGCGCGTCTCGAACAGAAGCACCATGTCGGAGGGCCGAACAGGAGCAGGAGTGGGGCATCCAACATGGCCGGCAGTACCTATACGACCACCCTTCGGGTGAGAAGGAGGGTGTTGGGGGGGGGAGAGGGGGGGGGAACCAACATCTGACTCCATCGATCTCACTATCGATCTCACTCAACGGGACACCACGGGGTACTTCGGGACACCACATCGACCTCACTATCGATCTCACTATCGATCTCACTCAACGGGACACCACGGGACACCACGGGACACCTGTCGATCTCACTATCGATCTCGCTTTTTGGGACACCACGGGACACCTCGGGGCACCACATCGATCTCATTATATATCGACCTCACTATCGATCTTATTGAACGGGACACCGCGGGACACCGCGGGACACCACGGGACACCACGGGACACCGCGGAACACCGCGAGCCACCGCTGGACGGACGGACGGACGAGCGGGCGGGGGAGAATCATTTGTCTTGACTTCGCCCTAGCAACGGCGGACACCACGGGACACCACGGGACACCGCGGGACACCGCGGGCCATCGCCGGACGGGTGGGAGGGGGAGAATCATTTGTCTTGACTTCGCCCAAGCAACGGCGGATTCATGCCTCTCGCGCGCCCACGCAGCTTCGCCTCGCCCGCACGCACGACACGAACGAAGCGAAACGATTTCCCGACTGGGGGGTTCCGCTCCACTGCGATCTAATCCCCCAGGCTCCGATTACGAGTCCCGGATTCTAGTTTTTGCGTGCTTGGCGCATGGTACCACTGCCAGGCAACACGTGCGGGCCGCTCCTGTGAGCGGCTCGGTCAGAGCTGAGGGGGGTGGGGCGCAGAGCCGCCCACCAGTACATCGGTTTCGGTTTCGGGTTCGTGCCGCGCGTGCAGGCGACGCGAAGCAGCGTGGGCGGCCGAGAGGAGGAAGCCATCCTCTGACTGGGGCGCATCGGAGACAGAAGGCCGCCCCCCCCCGGCCACGTGGCGGGCGGGTGCCGGGGGTGTCCCGCCGTGGTGTCCCGTGGCGTCCCGTGGTGTCCCGCGGTGTCCCGTAGAGTCCCGTGATGATGTCCCGTGGTGTCCCGCGGTGTACGACCGTGGTGTCCCGATGGTGTCCCGTGGAGCCCCGTGGTGCCCCGTGGTGTCCCGCGGTGTCCCCCGGTGCCCCGTGGTGTCCCCTGGTGCACCGTGAGATCGACAGTGAAATCGATAGTGAGATCGATAGTGAGATCGATTGTGAAATCAATAGTTTGATCGATCGTGAGATCGTGAGTCAGACCGATGGTAATATCCATAGCGAGATCGATAGTCAGATCGATAGTAAGGTAGATAGTGAGATCAATAGTGGGAGTAATATTGATACTGGCAGTAAGATCGATAGTGAGATCGACCGTGAGGTCGATGGTGAGGGCGACAGTGAGATCGACAGTGAGATCGGTTGTGAGAGGGATAGTGAGGTCGATCGTACGACCGATTGTGAGACCGTGTGACCGATACTTGCATCGATCGTGAAATCCATAGTGAGATCCATTGAGTGAGATCGATTGCGTGAGACCTTGGATCCTCCCGGCCCCCCTCGAACCGCCTTATCACCCGAAGGGTGGTCGTATAGGTATGGACATTGCTCTCGAAGGGTCATCCCTAGACCCCTGGCAGCGGAAGGAAGCGTTCTTACAACTTGTTTTGTTCATCCAGCGCGAAGTTGGGAACAGATTTCGGGTAGACCCTGCGCTCATCCATACCGTGAGCTTGGAGGCGGAGTGACAGTGGGGTCCCCGTGTTTGTGCCACTCGCAGGCTCCCCCATTTCTCCGGACAGGGATGGACGTGGTGTTACAGTCTTCCCTTTCAAGCTGTGTGCGCAATCTGTTTCCACAGGTCGCCGTGGGATCGCAGATGCCTGATGTGGTTTTGGAAGGTGGCCTTGAGCGCATCTAGGAGAGCCTCGTCCAGCTCGCGTCTGGCCTAGTTTTTGGAGTTGGCCTTATGACGCTTGCGAGATGCCTCCAGCTGGGCGGTGCCTTCACCCCCGCGGGGCTCGCTGCCAGCTCGCGAGAATGTCGTATGCGCAAGGCATCGCAGATTTACCCCTGCCAGCTTGGTTCAACAAAGACAAGAAGCGCCGCCTCGAGGCTGGCGCCGAGGACGCCGCGACGGAGGCCGAGAAGGACAAGAACGACAAGGGCGGCCAGGAAACCAACAAGGGCAAGGGCGGCAAGGGCAGCGTCCAGGCCAAGGTGGTGACCCTCATGGCGCGCCTCCTCGTCACGTTCGAGCGGAAATTGGCGGAGCTGAAGTCGGTCTACGAATGCGCAGTGCTCTTGTGGAGGCTTGCGTGCGCGCGGGCAAGGAGTACAGCAACACCCAACACCAGCAAAGACACGACGAAGGCGCGAGTCTCAGAGCGAGGCTCAGGACTGGAGAGGCCGAGGGGAGTCCGCACCTGCAGAGCTTCACGACGTTCATGATCACCGCCGTCTCACTGATCACGGAGAAGAAGGACGAGGAGATGAAGGCCGTGGTGATCAAGGCAATAGCGGACATCCAGGCGAGTTGGGGCTCATCGTCCGAGTCTTCCGCGTGCGCCTCCACAAGATCAAGGACGGCGAGGAGCGCACGGGCCATGTCGAGTGGGCGATGGGTCGCACGTCCCCAGCGAGCCTCAGCCTTCACGAGTTGATGAGCAAGGTCATGCTGAGCCACGCGGCGGGGAGAATGTCAGGCCCAGCCCCGCGGGGGCCCTTGGCGAGTGAGATCGCCAGCATGGGCAACACGAGCTGAGCCTTCCTCGTCGCCACGCGCTTCTCTGCAGCGAGACGCTTGCTGAGGTGGTGCGCCAGCGCACCGTCTCTGCTGAGGTGGCACAGCGTGGCGCTCGGGTCCCTCGTGCTGCGTATCCTCCTGCCGCTCTCCCGTCCGTCCCTGTGGCCTCTCGCGCTCCTGCCCGCCCTGCTCGTCTCCGATCCCGTCCACCACACTCTCAGAGAGAGGTCAGAAAGGTGGCGCGATGGGCTCTTGGCATCGCTCGAACGTGTGCACTTTTCCTTCGGCGAGGACCATCGAGGAGCATCCTTGATCCTTTGGCGAAAGAAACCACGCACGAAACCGAAAAACGCACAGGGCATGGACGCCCGAGCGATGGCCAGGGCTTGCGCCCTGCGAGCGGCGCCCTGCAAGGGATTCGTGCCCCTGGGGTTGCCGCTCGGACCTGTGCCACGATCGGGGAGCGCGCGGCCGTCGGCGGAACTGCCACCCCCTCGGAGCCCTCGGTGTCGAGGGCACGCCCCTGCCGCAGGACTCCGCGAGCTTGTCCTGTTAGTCGCTGCTGCGAGTCATCGTCCTTTGTGGCTACAGGTTTCAGGCCTTGCGCAGGCCCCAGTATACTCGCCCAGTCCCTGGGCTTCCATGGCAAATGACGAGGCGGAGCTGGAGAAGTTCTGGCTGGCCCCCGCTCTCCCACTTGGGCATGCGGCGCTTGCGGGAGGAACGCGAATTGGGCGCGCCGCATCGCATGTATATGTGGCGAGCGCGCACCAGCAGATGTGGTTCGTCGTGCTCGTGAGCGTGCTGGCGGTGCTTCTGAGCGTGGGCCTCCTCGGCGCCGCGCGCCAGCAGGAGCCGACCCTCTCCAGCAAAAGATCGACGCACTTCAGAAGAAGTACGATGCACTGGTGGCCAAGAGCAATGGGGTTACCCCGCCTGCGGCCGCCTCTTCCACGACCAACAAGGAGCAGTCCCCCGCAGACAAGCTCAAGGAGAAGATCAAGCAGCTGGAGAGCTCGCTGTCCGCGTGCAAGTCGCTGCCCGATGAAGTCGGCAAAGAAGCGTGTGAGTCTTTGGAGAAGCAGCTGGTGGACACCCGCAAACATTTGGCGGCGACGAAGCCTGAGCTCACTCAGCATACTAACGTCGGACATCGGCTTTCTCGTGCGACGACACGCAAGAGCAAGCTTGAGCAGCAGGTTTCCGAGCAGCTGGAGATCATACGAGCAGCCGAAGAGCGCACGGGTACCCTTCGTGCGCAGATCAAGGCAGCAGAAGAGGAGACACTGCTGCTTAATCGTGAACTGGTCGACACGTTACCATTGGCGCCCAAGGTCAATCTGGAGGTCGATCCTAACGTCTTGGCACAGCATCCTCAAGCAGCAGTTCTTAAGACGTTCATGGAGTCAGAAACGTTCAAGATCTTCGCTGAGGTCCTGGGCGAGAGCATCAAGGCCCGTGAGCCTCCCAAGCCAGCGACAGCTGCCTCGCCTTTCACTGCCCCATCTGGTGGCGCGAGTCAGGCTCATGGCAGCGATGCTAGTGCTAGCGGGTCAGGTGATGGTCGTGACGGATCCGATGCAGATGCAGGTGGAGTTGGAGTTCGCGTCCCCGATGACATGGAACTTGACGACCCCGACGACACTACCATCGACAGCATCCTCACCGCTGCTAGAGAGGAGGGTTTTGACAAGAGTACCTTTTTCTGAGCGGTTTGGCGGTCAGCTACGCCGAGTCAAGCCGCGTGTTTAACCAAAGGCAGCCTCTTTGCTGCGGTCTTAGGCTTTCTAAATTCGGAGTTCCTGCTCCACCTCCGCCCCCCTCCATTCCTTCGACTCCGCAGTCCTCAGAGCTCGA